CAGAACGTGCTCGGATGACTTGAGTGGCTCGATTAATATCGTTCCTCTGAGTAAACGGATCCCTGAATGTTCAGACGGAGCTTGCAGCGCGCCTAAAATAGGGCCGTCAACCGCAGCACGCGGAGCGATAGTCATCTCGCACAGGAAGTGCTTGTCTTGCGAAGAGCCCTTTTTCTCCTGTCCGGAATTTCACAAGAGCACCAAGCGCAGGATCTCGACGCGAGGATACGCCGTGTGATCTGTGATGCTGGCGGAAGGAATTCATGCTCCTGAAAACGAAAATTTCTGTCGAAATTGAAATTTTGGTTGACTCAGTGTAGACACGGATATCAACCGATTCCATTTGATCCTTGCTTCGCACATACGCGATAAGGGTGTTTTTGGCATCTTCTCGGAGCATACATGATCTACTCCAGCCCCGAGAAGATCTAGCAAAACATTTGGGTCGGACCACATGTCTGCCAAGTATCACGAGGGACTGATGCGAGTGTCAAGATTGCGGAATTCCTCCCTCTGGATCAGCCGGCTCCTGGCTCGCGAACTTCGACGTCGGGAAACCGGCTCAGAGTCTCCATTTCTGCACTGGCACCGGATATGAAAGACCGACCGTCGAAAAATTTGACGGAGCCCTGACACACCTGGCATCGGATCTCCGAGAGACGCTCTGCGCTTGCTCACCCAGTATCTCATTGCGAGTGTTTGCTTTACGAAAACCGCACGGAACCGCGAATGAGAACGATAACATCTCACTGTTTACGATTGAATTGCCTTTGGCTCAGATGCACACCCGCCAGGCGCTATCGGGACTCAATATTGCCCTCGGTTCCCCGGAAGTTCCTCCCGCAATTTTCCCCTCGCCCTTGTTACGTCTTCGAAATGATCAGAGGAGAGATAACTACTTTAGATTATACTTCGCCCGAAGCTGTGGTACGATGATTCCGGTATCGCATTGCTCTTCCGTGACATTCTAGAGGAGGACGACGCGTCTCGCGATGGCTCATGGCTCTAAGAAATCCCCTGAGTCGATGTATTTAGGGTCGACATATTTGATTATTCCAAAACTCGACCCTGGGACTTGAGGCCATGGAATTCATGAGGTTCGAGTTCGCTATCGATCGCATGTCTCGTCAGCTCATACATAGAGCTTCGATTGACTCCGGAGGTACATACAATTCCCGATACCGGAGGAGGTGTTTCCTGCGGACGGAGAAGCGACAGGCCCCCTCCCGCTGTCGGAGTTTCAAAGCCAAACGGGGACGGCTGAGGAGTCGGGGGCGGCATTTCCTACAATATCATGCCAGCTCTCCACGAACGAGTAGGAGAAGAAGGAACGAACGGAAAAACGGGAATGTCAAACGAAGGGGTCGGTCGGTGCACCTATGCACCGGATCGAATCTGAATGCCGATAGAACATATTGAGACGGATGGGGTCCATTCTTGGCAAGTTCACGGAGGGGAATATTACAGTCTGGCGGAGCGGAGTGCTCCGTCCACGGACGCGCTATCCAAGTTTAAGAGGAGATTCTTGCCACAGGCGGACCCGCACGAATTATTATCGATCCGGAAAGTGAGATCGTCGTGGGACATGAGCAAGCATGTTATGTTCACCATGGGTTCGCCCTTTCATCGGGAAGAGGTAACTTATTCTTCGAAGGCATCTTGCTCTCGAAGCGAAAAAACAAGTCATACACGAGGGAATGACTCCAAGGCTATCGGGAGAAAGCGATAGGTTCCACACTCGTTCAATAATTCATCAGCCCTCGAGATGGAAACTTTCCGAACCTGCCGTCCTTACTTCGCGCGAGCTCGACAATGAATTCTTACTCACTCAGCGTATCGGTAGTCCGCCGACACTACCCGTACTCGATTCGGCGGTTTTCCTCGATTCTCGTTGAAGAAATCGTGGCGCGGCAGGGAAGGAATGGTGCTCGACCGACCATCAGAATCAGAGCAGAGCAAGGACGCCGAACTCTCATACGACTCGCGGGAAAACCGGCAATATTCTCGAGCGTCTGTCTGCGTCCATAGTGTACGACGATTCGCTCCACAACATGGAACAGTCGAAATCTGTCGACTGACCGAATTTCAAGCAAATCTGTGTGTGCTGGGTGGCGGTATCTCTTTGTCAGACAACAGAACAGCCGAATCTCAGTGTTCTGGGAGTGCGGCCTGGAATTCGCGACCCTGAGTATATGCGGCATGAATCCGCTCTTTCTGTGTCCTGCGTCGATTCCCAGTACCCTCTCGATTCGAGAAGACCACAATTCCAGCAGCAGGAATGCTTCCCTTTAGAATCTCGGCATACGAATGCGGAAGAGCATCGCGCCTCTATTGCGGTCCCGGTGCCCCAGGCCACAAACCTCTACCAGACACTTACTTCCGAGCCAGGAGCATGACTGATAAGGTGGGCCAAATGTAGAGGGAGCACCTTCAGGGAGAACAGAAGTCGCGCTCGGAAGCAAGAAGAACCTGGAACTCCTCGAGCTTCATTGAGTCGGATCCTATGAAAAGATCACGCGCTGAACGGAAAACATTCTTGTGTTCCTGCATGAGCACGACACCATAACCTATAGTGAACTACTCTACTCGCGAGGCGCTCGTGGGAATATCGAAGGACGTGATCTGCACATTCTCCCCTCTGATTTCCACGCCCAATCGTAGGGTCGGAGCGAACATCCATCGTGAGCGCATCTGGCTCCTCGAAATCCCGCGAGTATAGAACGGTATAGGACTTGTGTACAGCTTCGCAACCCAAGTCCTGGACCGCCATTTCTGCTGGACGCGATCGATTGAGAATGATCTGCTGAGAATGAGCAAACCAGCCGACACAGGGAAACCGAAGATTGCTCTTGCGACCAGGTTCAGCGGATTGCGTGAGGAGTAGCACATAAGTAGCGCAGTGAAGGCGAATCCATGGATGGTGAGCGCGGAGAAAGCAGCGCCTAGCGAACCGATAAGCCGAAGACGGACTCTGGGTGAGGCTCAGAACAATCCCGACCGCATACGAAATCCCGTGGCGGGCGGAAATACGGCCAAGAAGACGATACTGACGAAGGAGCACGGGCGTGTGACTGTGAAATTCAGAGCGCAGACGGGAAGTGTGAGCTAGATGAGCTTGAAAACGGTGAGACGCAGTTCGAAAGCGGAATTCTCTCCAGGTCGAGGGCGACTCTAATGACTTTGGTAGGCTCGCGGATATGCAGTAGCCGATAAGAAGCAGAGGTGGCAGACGAACACAAGCAAAACAAGCAGCGTACCAATGTGGTAAGGAATTTCAGAATCACAACTCTGGTCGTAGGCGACGCAGACAATGCCTTCCACGATGATGATCGACCGATGGCGGGCGTGAGCGAGGAGAATTCGGAGGAAAGCAATGAGCCGGAGCAGACTTCGGAAGTCTCCTTCGGTATTTCATAGGCGCACTAAGGTGTACTAACAATTAGTTTCTCAACAAAGGGGGGGGGCAACGTGCTACTAAAAGGGAGCTTTCTGTCGTCGAAGTGAGCTCGGAGGGGCTTCAATACTGTATTTGAAGACCGAATCTTCCTTCGAGTTGTGGATCTGTGCCTTGCGAAAACCTGCGAAGGTGTATTGCCAGCCGAAACGTATCAGAAGCTCGATTGGGATTTAGGACCCCTGGATCCCATTGATCAGAACCAAGAGATCTCTCAAAGTCGACTTCGTGGCAAGCGGAAGGTTCTGAGGAGTGGTGAAGCTTCATCGACTTATATGGCGGGGAGGTCAGCGTCGAATTTCATTGCGCGAAAAAAAAATTGAGTTTTCTATCTTGGTCAGAGGGATCAATCGGTGGACCGAAAACAATCCAAAGAACGGGCGCTCACAGGTTTTGGAGATTCGCGAATTTCCTCGGTTTTTGATTTGGTAATCGGAGTTGGTGTCTGAATGAGGCTCGCAGTTATCGAAGAGGTTTTTACAAACTGACTGCGCCGGCATAGAAAGCTTGTCTGACACGAACAACGATCGTGCGGTGTCGGATCGAAAGTTCCCTCCGTCAGTCCCAACGGCAACGGTCATGTCTCGATGTCTGATCTCCAGAGGAAAATGCAAATGAATATTGAAAATGGAATGGCTTGGGAAAAATGTGGCGATGTCCGGAAACGCACTTTATGTGGTTGCTTAGCATTCGAGCGACCCTTTGGAAATTGTGAGGACTTCGTAGAAACCTTCTTCCTATGTTCAAACCATGGCTTCCTCTTCTGACTCATTGCCATGGCGACCCCGGCGCGGAACTTCTCCGCGAGCTGGGCGAGAACTTCGTGTTCATCGATCGCGATGGCGTACAGAGACGCTAGTGCCCCCAACGCTCTCCGGAAGATGCGCTGATTCCTGCGCACAGACAAATCTCAGAAACCGCTCAGCGGCCAGGTTCAGCTCCAGAAGTCTGTGGGAGCCCGAAGAATCTGCCGAAACTGATGAGCCGGGATCACGCGAGTTGATCGGGCGCCCACAAGACCTTATTGGAGCCCTCACATACCAATCAAGGAGGGGTCCTTCGTCGATAACTTCTGGCTGCTGGGACCTCAAGCAGCTCGATGGATCAGATAGGGGAAAGGGTGCGCCCGAGAGGTTTCGTCAAAGCGAGAATGACCAGGATGCGGGGTCCATTTGACGAAGCATAGAGCTCTCCCCAGGCTCAACTTGCCATCTGACTTGCATAAGGACCTCAAGCAGACTGAGCTTTTCCCTTCGGAGGTGAATGAGGTCCCTCTGAAAGCCGTTCCGTCGAATCCTGCTCATCCAGATCGGCCCGTATCGAAGATGATTCATTCATCTTGCGTACAGTGTCGACAAGATCTGTGGCGGTTAATCCGGCTTCGACTTTGCTTTCCTAGTAGAGCCACCGGGGTTGTTGCCGGAGCTATTCTCTATCCTCTTGCCCGTCTATTTGAGACTGCACGTCCATCAGGATTTTCACGCTATATTCATTAAAGGTTATCTAAACTCTCGACACGCTCAATCCGCTCACTTGAAGCCTAATCCTAGCAGGAATCATCGCAGACAGGCTGAATTCCTATCAGAAAGCGATGACTGACAAACTTCTTTGCGTACAGGACGTAGGCCAGACTCAGCTCGGGTGAAGACTGCCCAGCGCAAGCCGGGGTCTTCGGAGTCTTCACCGCTCTGAGCTTCAGACAGAATTGGGCGAGGAAGCTCTTCATCAAGTTCATAGAGAACTCCCTCGCCGGGCAGGATCCGGTCCCGGATCCGAAAGCGAGGAAAGCCTCCATTCGCTGTTTTCTTCTGACATCGGGATCGCAGAATCGCTCTGGTCGGAAGAGCAGAGGCTCCGGGGAGTTTTTAGGATCCCTGCTCATTTCGGTGACATCGATTTCGATGGGCATCCCTTTCTTGAAAGAGATATCGCCCACCTTGCCATCGGCATCCGCGTATCGTGTGATTTTCGCGTGGAGCGGAGCGAGTCGGAGAGTCTCGAGGATGACGCTCTCGACGTATTTCATCCGCTCCAAGTCTCCGAATTCGATCTTCGTCCGGTCGCCGAGGATGCTGAGAATTTCACGCCGCATGCGATCCTGCAGAGTTGGAGTCTTCGCGAGGAAGTAGAGGCAGACGTTCAGGGTGTACGCTGTTGCTTCTGCCCCGATCAGGACCAGGAGCAACGATACGGGCCCAGCGAGCTGGTCCACGGCACTTCCAGACTCCTGGGATGTCAAGAGGTGTTTCAGGAAGGGGCATCTGTTACCCTCAGATTCCGTTGCATTGTTCTGGCCGCGGAAGCG